TTTTTTTTTTTTTCAAATTCTTTTTCCACCCAAAATACATCAGCATTTTGCACTGAACATTAAAACAAGTCTTTTTGGGTTTCAAGGAAAAAAAGAACTGAAATTCAATTTGACGTATCAATGTTCAACAGCAACAGCAACAACAAAAAAGATTATTTGTTTTATTTGTCACTGATATAACTTAAGTGAATGTTCGAACTTTTTGCTCATTTTTTTCATCTTCTTTCCTCTTTTTCCTCTTAATCCAACTTTGACTAATTTTCTATATCAAAATAATTTAAGAAGTTAAATAATAAAACCAAAAAAATTTCTTTTGCTGTGGTAGAGAAAAGAAGCTCTTCAATTACTTTTTTTGAGTACAACTTGATATAAACTTAAGTTAGTTTATCAAAACTACAATATGTATAAAAACAAAAAAGTTTCTTGAAATGCTAATTTCAAGAACATTTTTGAACAGTCGAGCAATTATTTACTGAAACAAAAACAAAACATTGCTATGTTTTTCCTGACGCTGAAACACGTAATGATGTCGTGAAAGCAAGAATTTCTAAGGTTTATAACTAGAGAGAATGTACAGTGTTCTCAGGTCTTTTTGTGACATCAGGAACAATAACTAATTTAGAAGCAGTATACTTTCAAAAAATTGAATGGTATAATAGTGAATCAGTTTTGTTTAGCTTTGGTCTATCATTTTATTTAAGATATATCAAAGAGAAGGATATCAATCTAAGGTGCCTATCTCAATTAGTCTTTCCAGATATAAGCGAAAAAAAGTGAGAACAGGTAGAAAAAATTTTCTTTTACAAGTATAAAAATTATATCGATATTTCTAAAGATAACTTTAGACACTTTGGTTGCAATTCGTAATCAAAGTTTCCACAGAGTAACGGCATCCACTTAACAAATGCCACAAAATATTTCTGATAATTTGTTATTGTTCTACACGCAATCTTTTTTGCATATCAACTAAAAAAATCCATTACTATTGATCATCTAATTCTATCTCGTAAACAAAAAAAAAAAAACAACTTTATCAATCACCACAACAAATGAAAAACTGATGCCAAAAATTTGAGAAATTTATAAAAAAAGTTTTAAAAATATTTACAAAAGTTTGAAAGATAATCAAATCTTATTTAAAAATCTGATTAATGACTAAAATAAATCATCACTTTTTTTATTGCTAGCAAACTAAACTACAGATTGCCAGAATGGGTATGTAGCCAACAATGGCCGTTATTAAAAACTTTGATCTAACACTACAGCACTGTTCTGTTCTTCAGTTTTGCCGTAAATCTTTCAATACAAATTTACAGAAAAACCTTTCTCCTTCTGAAAAAAAAAAAGGGCAATATTTTTTTTTAAATTAAAGACTCAAATAAAACAAACCTACTGAGCTTTTGAACAAATTTATTTAAGCCCTTAAATAACTTTAAACTAATATGACCCTG